GGGACAGTGCTTAAATCAGGGCAGCTCTGAGAATCGTTTTAATTCAAGTGCTGCTGCATCTCATGTATCAGTTTCCCGCACTTAAAAATCACTTGAACTAAAGTTTGTTCGACAAACTTTAGTTCAAGCACCCCTGCTGCCATTTTTTAAAGAACGAGGAAGCTGATACATGATACAAGCAATTGCCATGCTCCAGCAGACTCACAGTGCTTAAATCAGGGCAGCTCTGAGAATCGTTTTAATTCAAGTGCTGCTGCATCTCATGTATCAGTTTCCCGCACTTAAAAATCACTTGAACTAAAGTTTGTTCGACAAACTTTAGTTCAAGCACCCCTGCTGCCATTTTTTAAAGAACGAGGAAGCTGATACATGATACAAGCAATTGCCATGCTCCAGCAGACTCAATTAATCGAGTTTTCTCCAACGTAGTCGAATTGCAGCACATCAGAGCAGCCTTGCCACTCGTGTATAGTCACCCTGGGATGCTGCTACAAAGAAGCCCTCCACTCTCATTCTGGGATGTAATAACAGGAACACCAAATATGGGACACACAAAACAATTATTTTGCTACTTACAGAGAACTTTCACTAGGAGTGTTATGTATTTTGGGGATAACACACTAAGAAAGTTGTAGTCAAACTGAAGAGAGCCCACAAGAGAGCAAAAATGATATGAGGTCTCAAAAACATTATCCAGGAGAAACGGTTGAAAAAATCTTTAGTTCAGAAAACAGGATGAGGGAGGACAGGAAAAAGGTAAAAGGTTGATATAGAAGTCAGAAATAAACTGCTCTTCATGTCCAAGGTTACAATAAGCAATATGTGTCTTAATTTGCAGCAAAAGGGAGATTTAGAATAGATGTTAAAATTTTTAATTCTGTGGACAGTTAAACGCTGGAATATTTAATGAGGGATCTTGTGGCATCCCCATTATTGGAAATTTCTAAGAACAGGTCAGACAAACACCTTTCAAGGATGGTCTAAGTGTAGCTGATCCCGCCTCAGAACCAAGAGATGGAAAAGACCTGAAGATCAATTAGACCAACACTATACTTGTAAGGTTCTGTTTTGCAAAAATTTCTTTCTTCAGTATTTCCACACATTCAATATTCCTAGTTCAACAAACAGTGTGTTGGTTTTGTCACTCAGGAGAACAGACTAGTAACTGGTATTTTCTTTCTATACAAATATCACAAAGAAATGAAAATCTCTACCCTTCATTGCAAGCTTCTCAAGAAAATGAGACAATTTATGACAAAATGTTCATAATGTAGTCGCCTCAAAATTTGTTGTGCGGGAAATAATTTTCTCTCTCTCTCAAATGTATGTGTATGAGCGTTCCCGGTTTTCTCCCTCACTCCTTTAAGCTTTCCTTGCAGGACAGATCTAGTGTGCAGGTAGTTTTTAAAGACACCTTCTTAGGACTGTCTTTTTTGCAAACTCATCTCTAAGTTTCTTTTGCAGCAAAGACAGAAGGACTGTGTTTCCAAAAAGATTTCCTTTTCAAAAAGCTGCAACGTCTCATTACTTTGAGACACGCAACCCTAGAAGTAGTTAGAAAGATGTTCTTTCAAAATAGCGAATGACTTCTATTGAGAAATCTGAGAATTAAGAAGCCTGGCTGTTCCCAAAGACATTGAGTGGTCTAATACAGTTTGAGGAGCTGTGGGCAGCCGGACATCATTCAGGGCTTGCCTGCATTACAGGCCTTTTTGACAACAGAGGTCCTGCCAGCAAAAAGCAACTGTCGTAGAGAAGCCACCTGAATGCACCCCCAACTTCTGCCCAGCTTCTACAAGCAATGCCAACATTGCACACAAGGCACTGTGGGTGGTGGCAGCTGGCAAAAAGAGCAGGTGCTTTCTGGTAGTTTATGGTGGCAGACACCTTTGGTTGCTTGCAGAGCACTGAATGTAGCTATCAATGAAGATGCGCGTGCAGGTCTATGGGCAGAATCTGTGTTTTGTGGCAAAACAATGTAGAGTAAGACCAGACCTCACACTGTTTATACCAGAGGAACTACTGAGGAGAGTACCAAGAATTGAGAGAGTTTCTTAGCATACATAACATTGTGAAAGCTGCAGAAAGTTAAATCACATGTCACTACTGTATTGCTGCCTTGTTTGTGGCAGGAAATTTATCTGTTGCAACCCTTTTCTCAACTCTTCTAGAACATGGTTCGTTGTATATACATTGATATTTATAGCATTCACCATTTCCCAAACGCTCATTTCTGTTTGTAAAAAGCCTTAAGTATGTGTTTTCAGCTGGTGTTTGGTGAAAATCATAGATATTAAATAAATATTTTTCCTCTAAGAAAGCATAATTTTTTTGAATTCCTAACACTTTAAAATACACAGAAATGCGTTATGAATTGTTTGGATAAATGCGATACTGCCGAGTAACTTTTAATGCCTTACTCAGACACTCAGGCTCAAATCCCCAAAGATAGTACCACTGGATGAAAAGGAATAACTATCTACAGGAAAACTCATGAATAAGGGTTTGTAATCTGGTTCCAAGGTCTACTTCCAAAACAATAAATTCAATAGGATGCCTAAATAGTTAGTTTTCATATTCAACTGTTAAAATTCTTAGGGATAAGCCTTAACTGTCACACATGATCCTCTGAGACACCTTCTTTCCAAAGCTAAAGTTCTACTAACAAGTACGACCTGTTATGTGCAGCCAGAGTAACATCATTTTACAAAATAATGGTCTATTATAGATTCTTACGGCTCATCACCATTAAGAAGTCCCGACAACAACCTTTAAATGTTTGTCTTGGGACAATATTAAAAGAAACACTATTGTGAAAAGGTGTTTTCTGAAAAGAGCTATAGGAACTATACTTTTCACTAAGACCAATCTTACACTGTCCTGACCAATTCCACACTGTCCTCAGGAACCGGTCACTGAGGTTAAGGGTAGGTCATGCCTTTCAGTTCCCTAATAGACAGGGAACATAGATATTAATTGTATTTACTAGAAAAAGAAGATTTCACATAGAAGAAAAATCTTCATAATTATAATCAAATCCTTATTTATACACTCTTCTGCAACCAGACAAATGTTTTGTGCATTATGTGTATGTTCAGTGGTTTTTTCAACCTTTAGACTTTAAAGGCAAGATAAGCAAAGTGGCGCTGGTCTTGTAATAAATTTGCAAACAAGAGGTGGTCAGACTGTTTGGGTCTCCCAATCCAAATGCTTTCCCCTTTAAAATGCTTTAATTCTGCCTGACATATCCAATAAGCTTGACCAAAAGCAGAGAAATGATTCTTTCTGGACCAGGAATCAAAACAACTGACTGTTTTTAGCTTTGACAGGCACTCAAGATAACTTTGGGCAAAACCAAGCCACTTAATCTTCAGTTGAACATCTGAAACATGGGGGGGGACTACTACTCTCATACCAAATCGATCTTAAGTGCTACCAGTAGTCTATGAAGTTCTGTGGGATGAGGACTCTCTTTTACGTTTCAAGTGTTTGGTGCCTAACGTAAGGCAGGCTTGATCTCCGTTTGTGTCCACTGTTGTAGGCCAATACAAATGCTTAATTTACAAAGAGTAGGAAGCATATGAAATACCGCCAGGATTACACTTGTGAAAGGACAGCATATTTCAGTTACACGACTACATAAAAAGCCTTAAAATCATCTTACAATACTGATTTTAATTTTAAAAAAATGATAAAGTTGATTGAAAGTTTCAAAAATGAAAGAGGTAAGTCTGCTTAGCATCAAATCATGTTTTGAAAACTTCCAAATGAGGGATAAGAACACGTTTGAAACTTATCAACACCACGCCAGTGTCTCACATATTGGATAGGCCAGTGAAACCTCTGGATTATTAGTAAAAGAATAGGATGCTGCCAAAAATATTATTTCTTCCTTTCACTAGCAAAAAAACCAAACCACACACTAGATTGCTGACTTAGGCGATCTGACTCCCAACACATTGAGGATCTTTCCTATTTAAAAAAATATATTAATTGGGGCTTTTAGAGCTGGGTAATTTTGGAATTCTCCCCACAGAAGATCAGCTACTCAAGAGCCAGACAAACTCTAATGAAACAGGCAACTTCTCCATTTACATGTCACACAGTGACAACTCCCTCCCTCTCCCTCTCCCCAATTCTGAGGGTGGAAAATTAGAAACACCTTCCTTACTAAACCAGCGAAGATGTCAAAGAAACAGAGACCAAAGCGTGTAAATGCACTCGGGCTTACATGGTTTCTTGGCATCCTTGATCTTCATGTCTTTGTCGTGGCCGCGGCGGCGGCTGCGTCCCCCGAGGCTGTCGGCTGCGAAGCGGGGCCGGCGCGGGGTGGGTCCGTCTCTCTCCTGATGGGGCGGGAAGTGTCAGCAGCGTCTCAGCGCCGGCGCTCGTCTCTCCTGATCGCGGGCTCGCGCGTGGCTGGCGAAGCGGCGCCTGGCAGGGGGCGGCCGTCTCCTCGCGGGATGGAGGCGGCTCCCAGGCCGCGTCGAGAACGTCGGTCTCCAGCGGGGGGCGGGGATGGAGGCACGAGGGCCGCGGGGAGGGGGTGGGAGGAGGGAGCGATGCCTCCCGGCCGCAGCGGCGAGCCTAGACTGGG